TTGAATACATTTTTTCAGACAAAACTGGAACTCTTACACAGGTGAAATCAAATGTGATGTGAGGAAAAATCATTTTTCGAGAATTAATGTAAATAAAAACTTTGATTCAGGATAAAATTTTATTTTCGTCCAGAAAATTTTGCTATTGTGCATGTGACATATACTGTATTTCGGTATTCTATGAATATTTTAAAACTTCTGAAAAAAATGAAAATAAATTTGTTTGGATATGAGTCAGGCTAAAGCATGAAAAAATTTGATGTGAAACATTTTTAATGAATCGAGTGTGCATTCAAATTTTGACTTACTAAGATTAGCATTATTCTTGATGCAAATTTCATGTGGTTTGTGATTTTAGCAAAATTTATATATAATTCAATTCATGCAGAAGACTCTGTGCCTCTGAGCAAAGCTTGGAATAACCAACTTGGAGGTGGAACCAAATGAATATTTTTGTATAAATTAAAATACCAACCGTTTTCAAAATTCTTAGAATGTGTATTTTTCTTCAGAATATAATGACTTTCAACAAGTGCTCAATCGGTGGAAAGATGTATGGGGATCCACCTGTAGTCATCAAGACAGCTGCTACCTCAGACATTGATGACATGCAGTCTATCGACCTATCTGAGGACAACCCATTTTTCGAGCCGGAATTCAAGTTTTATGACCCAGTTCTTCTCATGGACGTGAAATCAGGAAATCAAGCTGTGCATGAATTCTTCAGGGTCTTGGCTTTGTGTCACACTGTCATGCCTGATCACAACCGACAGGATGGTGAGATAATATGAAATTACGCGTGAAAATAGCTATAGTTCTACTTCCGGAAAATTCAGCCTGAATTCCGCACGTACATTTGTGAAATTACGTATCTCTTCTTTAATGAATTTACGCCTGAAAAATAGCTATATTTCAACTTTCGGATTCTGCACGTGCACTTGTGAAATTACTTACCTCTCCTGAAAAAAAACCCTCAGATAAATTTGGAATTTAATTTCATCCTCCAATTTACAATTTGAATTGTGACCAAAATTCGGGGAGAGAATGGAGACAAGTTCTTCTACGTTCAGCCACTAACACTTGTGTTTTAAATGGATTTCTATATACAGAGAAAACAACAAATTAACTCGAAATTAATGATTTCTTCCAAGGAAAACTGGTTTACCAAGCACAGTCACCAGATGAAGAAGCTCTGGTCTCAGCAGCACGAAACTTTGGCTTCGTCTTCAAGGAACGGACTCCAAACACGATCACTACGATTGTAAGGCAAAACACACCCAGTATATCTTGAAAGCAATTGTTTTTCACGAGCTTTTTTGTTTTTCAATTTTACAGGAAATGGGAGTGGAAAAGAAATACGAACTCCTCACGTAAGAACTAAAGTTGTTGCAGTCTTTCGCCTACAGGCAACACCAAGCGCTTCTGTTATTGCCTTCGCCAAGGCCATTTTAGTCCGAAGAGACGTTTCCGCGACTGTCGTAACAGTACCTCTCTGTCTCTGCAGCTGAAAAAAGCAGACAAGGGTATAACAAAAAACGATGATGATGAACTTCCTGCCCTTTTGTTTCATGAAATTCAATTAATTTTAATTTTCGGCTCTTTTTTTAATGATCAGTGCCAGCACACAAGAGCACCTGAATACATTTGCCAGTGATGGTCTGAGAACCCTGGTGCTGGCAAGTAGAGATTTGGACCTGGGAACTTTCCAGGCATGGCGCAAACGTCAGCAGGAAGCTTCAGTCAGTCTGGACAACAGAGAAGAGAAACTTGACCAGGTTTATGAAGAGCTGGAGCAACTATACTGCGAACAACCTCGGTGACGCTAACTCCTATTTAACGTTCTGCCCCACGGTGTTTGATAGCGGTTGAACCGTGTTCGACCTTAATTTTAAACCCACGAATGACCTCTGTTTGTTCCAATAAACCTATTTTAAATTTATTTCTGTCAAATTTAATGTCTTTGAAACAAAAAATGTCTTCCAGAAGGCCACCAAAAAGTCCCCTGAATGCTTAGCATATACATTCGTTGAACTGTATATGTTCAGTTGAGTTGTTTGATCAACTGTGTTTATGGTACCCGGTCAACCACCAGTCGGTCAATTCACAGTCACGCAACCACCAGCCATCAAGCGCCAGTTGGTCCAACTGCCAGCCAGGGCAGTACTTGGTATTGCCAATCCCCAGCCCACCAAATGGTGGTCTGGTCACCCAAGTTTTGGGGCACCCAAACAATCGGGTGACAAGAATCATGCTGATTTTTTCCAGAATTGGGTGAGCAGAATGGTATCCTACCACAGATTATTTTATTTTTACAAAATTTCATCTTATAAAAATTTTCATGAAAAGAAAAAAACTCATCAAACCCAACCTAACCTAACCTAACATTTCCTAACCCAACCTAACATATCCTAACCTAACCTTACCTAACCTAAACTGATGTAACATAAACTGACCTAACTTAATGTAACATTCCTGAAATTTTGAAAACCAAATCTGTCGTGGGATACCATTCTGCTCACCAAATTCTGGAAAAAATCAGCATGATTCTTGTCACCCAATTGTTTGGGTGCCCCAAAAATTGGGTGACCAGACCGCAGTTTGGTGGGCTGGGGATTGGCGATACCAAGGACTGTCCTGGCTGGTGGTTGGACCAACCGGCGCTTGATGGCTGGAGGTTGCACAACCCTGAATTGACCAACTGGCGGCTGACTGGACATGTGTGTTTATATGGGATTAGCAGCACTGGTTGACTCAGAGATAGAAATGAAGCATCATTTTTGTAGGAAAGAATAATGTAACCCTTGTGTGGTAAAGTTGGGATACTTTTACAAAATTGTGTGCCACTGAGCACTGGAAAAAAAATTATACTTTTTGTTACCAATCAAGGACTAAGTTGGGAAAAAGTCCAATATTATTTTCTAATCATGCAGAACATTTTTTGAATTGTCAGTGCTCATGGGCACAGAATTGTTAAAAAAATATCCTGACTTTTCCACTCAAGGGATATAGGGATCAGGTATTCCACTAAAGGAAGCTTGAGTTAGTGAGGTTCACCTGCAATGATGTAGAATTAACGCAAGGGAATTCCTTGCGCTTTCTAACCAATATCCAGACAACCTGAAGATCATAGAGTATAGAAGTTCCAGAAAATGTTGAATTATTCCATTAGAGAAAAAGAGCTGAATAACCTAGGAAGCAGAAACCAGTTGCAGGGAATAAGAAACAAATCATTCACTTTTGATGATGACATCCTGGTGCCAGAAGACAATGAACCTGGCCCATCATCTGCTTTTGCTCTCATAATCAATGGTCATTCTTTAGTGCATGCTCTCAATGCCAGAATGGAAAGACTCTTTCTGGATGTGGCAACCAGATGTAAGTGTGAATTTATCTTTGATTCCTATCTCTTGGATCAAGTTAAGTGCATACCACAGATTTAAATGCTCAATGAAATCAACTTTCAGATTTGTAGAAAATCAGAGTGCAAAGTCAGTATGAATGAATGAACAGAACACTTTATTTGCCGCTTTTCAGCATTTACAAGGTTGAATCAAGATTTCCACATCCAAACCCCCAAGTCAGTAAAGCAGCTGCTCAACAGTTTCATTTCAAGATTAGAATTTATATTTTATAGCTGTAAGAAGGAAAAAAATCAAAAGCATCCTCTCTGCTCAGATGTTTGATTGTGACTCTTAATCTCTAAAAGGTGCTTTATAAGAAAAAAAACCAATCAGACGCAATCAGCAAATAAAATCACCAAGAGGTTCATGATAAAAATTGTTTGTCACAGTAAATCTGATGCAACTCACAGATCTTCAGCTGTTTCCCCATTTATATTGATCTAATGAACTAACTTGTTCTGTTGTGTCAAGAGCTAGTACAAGCCTAAGATGCAGCAGTGAGTTTAGTATGCTATAGTTCAGCAATTCATGAAATGTTTATTCCTGCAATCATTGAATGAAAGATGTATTAATGAAAGAACTGTCCATTTCGTCACTAAACGACATCTCACTGTGGGAATGTTTTCCGGAACCACCAACTGGACCAGTTTTTTATGTTCTTCCGACACTGGGAACGTTAACCCCTACCCCGTTTACTACTTTCCATGATTAAAAGTAAGTTCTCTTCATTTGTAACACCACATTAGAACATTTTCACTGATGTGTTTCTTTTTTTTTAATAACATAAGCTGCCCACATTGGAGTAGGCATCAGTGGCCAAGAGGGGCTCCAAGCAACAATGTCATCAGATTTCAGCATTTGCCAATTCCGTTTCCTGGAGAGACTGTTGCTTGTGCACGGCCGTTGGTCCTACCGCAGAATGTGCACTTTTCTGCGCTACTTCTTCTACAAAAATTTTGCCTTCACCTTGTGCCATTTTTGGTACGCCTTTTTCTGCGGATTCTCAGCTCAGGCAGTGTATGATCCATTCTTCATCTCCTGCTTCAACTTGTTCTACACATCCATGCCTGTTTTGGCTCTTGCTGTTTTGGAGCAAGATGTGAATGATGTCTATTCTATGAGGTACCCAAAGCTGTACACTCCTGGCTTGAAGGGTCTCCTCTTCAACAAAGTGGAATTTTTCAAGAGTGTCCTCATGGGGGTCATAACTTCAGCAGCATTGTTCTTTGTCACTTGGGGAACTTACCAGGATGCCTTGAACCCTGAAGGTTAATTTAATTTTCTTTACAATACAATTTTCTTATTTTCTTGTGGAATGAAATTTAGAAATATTTGTTTTTCTTTTTAGGACAAGTGACATCAGATTTGATGCTGTTTGGGTCAGTTTTGGCCACAAACTTAGTCATGGTAGTGACATTGCAAATAGCCTTGGATACAGCACATTGGACAATCATCAATTTTCTTACCTTGGCTGCATCTTTGTTGCTGTACTTCACTCTCACTTTCTCATACTACTACATCTTCAGCTCTCAGTATCTTGGGTCTTTGAAGAAGGCAATGGAGGCTGCCAATTTCTGGTTTACTCTGATCCTCCTAATGGCAGTTTTGATTTTGCCAATTGTAGCCAAAAGATTCTACATGCATGACTTGTACCCAACTTTGTCTGACAGAGTGAGACTCAAGCAGAGGCAGGCCAGCAAGTGAGTATACTTACTATTTTTGTTGTTGTTACTTCATCATTCATGAATTCTGAAATTTATTCTGCAGGACTTCTCATCAGCAGCCGCAAAAGGATTTCCAAAGAGTTAATTCAGCTTTTGGAAGGTCCAGGAGATCTTTACGTTCTGGTTACGCATTTTCCCATCAGGTAAGTTAAATTTGATTTATTTTTCTTTAACACATTTTTGGCATGAGGACTTTTCTTGAGAATTTAAAAATGCACATTTAATAGGGCATATATTCTTTGCTAAAATACAACCAACATTAATTTAAAATCTTTGAAATTTCCTTGCTGTATTGGTGTTTAATTGAGAATTAGAGACTATGGCTTATATTAGGGACTGCTGTACTTATTTTATTAGCTAAAAATACAGTACATACTGGAAATGCTCAAAAGATAAAGAAAAAAGGAAAAATTACAGGAGAAAAAATGAAAACACATTTGATGGCAATTTTTTCTTTGAATATTAGTTAGTTACCAAAGACTTAAATAGAACCTTTAAGAAACTGACGATTTTACTCGATTTATGACATGTCATATAATATTCGGTCCGTAAGCAATCTCTTTAACGTTATGTCGTAAACATTTAGAGTAACCTCTAATGATGCATTTCTCAAGAAAGAAAGTTCAAAAGAGAAAAATCCAGGGAATCAACGGATAAGAAATATGTATTCAAATGTTAATTTCTTATTTCATTGCTGGCTGATGGCTGCTGTACCTTGTACAGTACTGTAAGTTCATGTTTCATGTACCGGCATTTTTACAATACAGGAGGGCTTTGGACGGTTGATCACAACCGGAAAAATGATGCGCCCAGCTGCAAACGTCAACGGAATGTACACCAAGTACTACAATCGTGTTACCAGTGGAAGTGGTGCCATCATTGGAGCAGATGCACCATTGCCACCAGCAGGGCCCAGTGTCCTAAACCAGAGATCAGCTCCTCTGGTTACCTTCGTCACACCAAATTCCGTGTTACCAAGTTGAACCCAGTCCTCTGCAGCAGTGACAATTTTTAGAAAGTGCAATTTGCAAGTGTAAATGTGTGTGTAAAAGAGAAAAAAGGGTGTGTGTGCCACAAAGGGGAATAATGTATATTTTTTCTGTGGTTGCCCTGTTGCAAACGAACGATTTTATGCACAGCAACACACAATGACGCACATTTATGCTGACAATACTCGCTGTTATATCGGAAATGTGACAAAGTCAATAAAAAAGAGAGAACAGGCAATATTTGAACTCCGTAGAACGCGTTATCTTTTTCTTTATTTCATTTTCTTATGTAGCATATGGAGCGTCAGGACAAACGCTATCTTATCTGGAATTAGCGACACTTTTGAGACTCTGTTGGGCCCAAACAATAAGTTCAAAAGCGAAAATGTTTCCGACATTGCGTCTGTGGTTTTTGAGCATTTCAGCAGGTGTCTTTGCGGAAAATGGAAGATTCAAGGATATCAGTGATGATCCTTACGTTTTCTCGGTCAAAGAGTAAGTGGTTGATGATCAAAAGTAGATGGCACTGGTTTTCTACTTACAATGTTTGATTCCCCGACCTTTTTTCAAGATACATTTCTACAAACATTCCTGAAAACACGCCCTATAAGCCAATGTTCCCAAGCCTTTTTGGGCTCACAGACCGGCTAATTTCCAAAGACACTTTCCAGCAGACTGGCACATTTTGAAAAAAAAAATTATTTGGACCAGTAAATAAGTTTCATTAAAATTTTGCAGATTCAAAAAAATGTTTGTTTGAAAGACTTTAATGCAGGCATTTAAAAAGTTTTGAAATATTTGCAAACATTTTAATTGAGAGGTAATAAGAACCAATGAAGCTGCTGTAGTGGAATGCCTTCCTAAAATTAGAAAGGTGGGCTCAGAATGAAAAATTGAACTAATTTATTTCAGAAGGTGAAAATTTGTCGGAAATGTTATTGGGCTAGAAGACAACTTATATTTTTGATCCAATAATTTCAGCTACTTTTGTCTTTCCAGAATATCACATAAAGATAAGAGTCCTTCATTACTTTTGATCAATTTTTTATGCTGAAGAAAATTTTCTGCAGACTGGCAAAACACTTCTGTGGACCATTGCCAGTCTGCGGACCATGGATTTTGGGACCACTGCTCTATATGTGGTGCAAACTCATGACATTAATAAGGAGACTACAGTGATGATCTTCATTATTCAACTTTTATCATTCCAACTTTTTCAAACTTGCGAATATTCCTCCACCTTCTGCAACTGTATGATTAATTTTATGATCAATGTTCTCATCATTGTGTTCTCATTTTTACAAGGAAGATGGACTGAAAATAAATATTTTTAACAGATTCAGGGCTTAAACTGTTGATTTGAATCCACATTTATACATGATATTTATTATTTAATGCAATTTTCAGCTTGTATCTCATGCATGCATACTATTTTATTTCAGATAAATATCTTACTTACTCTCCTGCAGATGCTTCATAGCAGATTTATTTTGAAATTTAATCTCGTTTTTAGTCTTCCAGAAAACACAAGATTCTTGCCAACACTGGGGAATGGACACCTAGCAACAGTTGTCAATACTGATGTGATTTACGTGAACGGCTTGTATAATGGTGCACGTGGTGACAGTCACAGAGCCAAAGTGGCTTCATTGCACAGAGCTCAAGTGGAATTGGTTGGGGCTGGGGAATTGATTGATATTACCTTTTCTCTGGACACTAGAAGAGGTGAAACATTCATGTGATTTTTTTTGCTAATGTGGAATTGGACCAGGTTAACTTGTGCCTTGATCATGCAGGTGTTTTTGAAGAAGTCAGAGAATATTCAGATTGCAGTTTCACACAGACACAGTTAGCTCATCAGTTTTACTCTACAAGCTTGGTGAATGTTCTGAAGGTAACTTCAAAAACAGATGGTGAGTACAGTTTATCCTAATATTAAAAGAATGCAATTTAAAATTTCTGAATGTCAAAACATTCATGCAGAAACTTTAGATTTGGTGCTGAGGCTGGAAACGACACCACAACCTTCAGAAACTGATGACTTGAATTTATTCAGCATGACCACTTTGCCAGATGGAACAGTGATCTTGTGCTACAAAACCAAGGTTGTGGAAGACCCCAGGTACCAACAAGAAGGTTCAGAAATCTGCATAACTTCTGATTCAACCATCCCCACTGGCCAAGATGTTAACATTCAGCTGAGTCCTGAAAACAACACCTTCTTTGTAGCTCAGTATTCTTTGTATGGCAGCAACCTGCACCAGGAACTCGGATTGACAATATCTGACAGTAAATAATTCATTTTGAAAAAATAAACATTTTTGAAATTAGTTACATTTTTCAACAGTGAAACTGATGCAGCCTGAGGAACTGATGGATTCCCATGTTGCTGCTTGGACTGAAAGATTCAACAACTTTGTCATTTCAGTGAAAGGGGATTTAGAAATGGTACAGAGATTCATATAAAAATTAAAATTGAGTCAAAAGGGTAAAATCTTCATTGCAGGCAAAAGTGGTCCAAGGAAGCATTTATTACCTCATGTCCTCAACACCAAGTCATAATGAATTCGTAGCCAGTGAGAGATTTTTTGGCCTCAGCCCTGGAAGTCTGGCCTATGGAGATCGCATGATGGACTATCAAGGTTGTTACAAGTATTGTGGATTTAAAGCACCTCTAGAGTTTCATGAAAAATGTGCCTTAATTTATTCAAGGACACAGCTTCTGGGATACAGAGACTTGGATGTTTCCAGCATTCCTCCTCTTTGATCCATTGGCAGCCAAAGAAACCTTGAATTACAGGGTAGCCAACTTGGCAGCAGCAAGAGACAGAGCTTTGGAAACAGGTTATCTTTTAGCTAGGTGAGTTTCAGGGTTGCTCATATTTTTTTGGTGATTCAGCAGCATATTGACTAACAAAATCAAATTTTCCCTGAGGAGTTGATGCAAGCTGAGTCTTCTTTTTCTCTCATCAGAGAGTGTAGGAATACATTTACTGTACAATAAATGGTTCCAAAACTTTGAAAAGGCCCATGAATATGAACTAGCTCTGAATAAAAATTGCCCAATATCCATGAAAGAAAAGTTCTGTTGTGAATATGAAATTGGATGTACTGTAACTCCAAGGCTTCAAACTTCTGAGGGGTCTATGCCTTTGAAGTTTGAACAGAAGAAAGGGACATTGATTATTTGACCTGTACTTTTGGTTGGTGGTAAATTATTACAAAATGCATCTGAATTGCAAATACTATAATTCAACAAAAGAAGTTTGAAAGCACTTTTTTGAAAATGAAAAAATTATATTAGAATTTCCAGATGAGAGGAAATATCATGTATAAAGTATTTTCGAGTGATTCCAAGCCCAAAACACTATTACTACAAGAACCACCATCATATAAATATTTCAAGCATGTTGAAAACACTAAGGACACAGGACACTTTTTTGAAGATTCCCATTTGGCTATTGCAAACATTTTCAGCTGGATGAGTGTTCATTAGAAAAGTCAGGATGAGGGCAGCCAAGTTTCATTCTGTTTGCTATTGTTGAGGAATTAATCAACCCAACATAAAGAATTGAACCATCATAGCGCAGTGGAAGAAAAGGTGGGAAATAATAAGGCAGGGCAATCAGCCGGTTTGCGGCCTGGAATATGTAATTAAGGGGGTACCTTAATTACATATCTCTAGTTTTGTCTGGTTTAATCACAGACCACAATAATTCACAATCAAACTGAATACTAAAATAATACAACACAATAAATGCAGTACTAATGCAAAACACGTCCAATAAAAACAATAAATTTGTGCACACAAATTTAGGGTGAAATAATGCAATGCAAGAATTCAAGCAGAAGAATAGAGGTTGGAATATTCGAGGGGAGATTACTGTAAGAGCTAATTTTGAGGACTGATTATTGGGAGTGGAAAAGTGCTGGGTTTTTATGGGATTTAGCACAATGCTTCAGTCAGCTGACCTGACTGAAGCATTGGACGTTTTTTCTTGCCTGTGATTGGTGGAGAAATGCGAATTGAAGAAGTCGCACATCCCCAGAGTGGATGCATGAAGGAAAACGGGACCAGAATTCAGGTCCTGGGACCTTACGTCCCTGAGCCCAAGTTCTGGTTCCCCAACAGCTATCCTGGGCATTTTGTAGTCAGTAACCCAGTGCAACTTTTATCAAAGGATTTCTTCTTGATGTTTCAGATTTCCTTGGGAGTCTGGATTCACAGGGTCAGAGGTCACTCCTGACTGCTGTCCTGATGTCAGGGACAATGAACAGCACATCACAGCAGACATTGCCCTAGCAGCAAAGCAATACATTGACCTAACCCAGGACCTTGAGTGGTTGACTTCTCCACAGACCTCTGTAAGAGGACCTCTTTTTTTCCTTTCCACTTTCTGATACAAGTTTTTCTTTCATAATATCCAAAACAGACCCAAGAAACAGGTTGTGACCTTCTTCTGGATATCGGAAACTTCTGGCTTTCAAGAGTGCAACAGTTGGATCATCCGCCAGGATCATATGGGATACTTGGAGTCATGCCCCCGGATGAGGATCATTCGTTGGTGAACAATTCTGTGTACACAAATGTAGCTGCTGCTTCGGCACTACGTACAGCTAAGTAAGCCTCATCCTCATAATATGAACAACTTCAATATAAACATAATCTTTAAATGATTCTTTAAAGATACGCAGCTTGTTTGTGTGATGCTGAAACATCCGATGGCTTCTTGGAGAGCTTGTCTGAAGTAGCTGATAATATGTGGGTGCCATTTGATTCTGAACTTGGGTACCACCCGGAATTCGACGGCTACGAAATAGGTAATCATGCTGAAAATGTCATTCGAAATTGAAAGATTCCAGTAAACTCCGATAAGTCAGATGGACTAATATTTTCTGATAAAAAGTTCTGAATTTCATGAAAAAGTTTTTGCGCAGTCTTTGAAACTTCATAATAAATTGTAATACAGCTAACTCTTTGATAATACAAACATCACTGTTGTGTAAAAACTAATTGGCTGTTGAATTTCTTGTCAATCCCAGCTCCAATTTGATTACAAAAAGGGTACATCAGTCTGGATTCCAGAACTCAAGATCTATTTCAATAAAGCAATTGCTCTCAAAAACACCCTCTCACAGCTCCATTTCCTTATACTGTCATACTTCATCAGTATTATACAGGTGGTACCTTGCAATTTAAACATCCTGCAAATCCACAGTCAAAATTGCTGGGAGGTGGACTCTCAATTCAACTTCTGCCACACATTTCAACCTCTGGAACTGGAGAGACATGGCACTTTAAATACCATGTAATAAACATGCCATTTGACATTGTCTCGCAATTTGACTGCTTTGCAATTCAACCCTAGTCCAGCCAGAGATTAGCGCCGAATTGCAATGTACATTTGTACTTGAATTAGAAATGAATACCAGGGATTTTGGAGAGAAAGAAAATGGCAACTTTGGAAATTAAAAGGAATGTCAGTGACTATAATTCAGGAAATATACCCTAGCCTTGAAGTTTAGTATCCTGCTGGGTTATCCACCTAGCACTTTTAGTCCAATTTTTACTCCAGGATATAAACACTTCTTACTTTAGCTTTTAATTTCCAGTCAAAATCATCAGTACATGACATATGCAGCATTTACAAAAGCGCAAAAATGTCTATATTTTGAATCTCCTTTCATCAGGGGAAGCAATCAAGCAAGCAGATGCTATTTTACTGGGATACCCTCTTGGACTGGAAATGGACAGCGCAGTTAGAAGGAAGGACCTGGAAATCTATGAAGCAGCAGTGAGACCCACTGGACCAGCCATGACATGGTCTATGCATGCAGTTGGTTGGGCTGAACTAGGAGAATGGGACAGAGCAGAAACCATGTTTAACAAGAGCTATCAGCTGTATGTTAGGGAGCCTTTCAGGGTGAGATATTTTTCTGTTTGGGATTATGGCAAAAAGGAGTAGTGTTGGGCTGACAAAGCCCATTGGTCTTCTCTGGGCACAGCCAGGAACCTTCCTTAGAAATTAATCCAGACTTGATTGCAGTTATTTCTAAAAAAAAAACTTGTGAATGTTTAACAAGACTCCATTACAAATCTCTGTTTTGTGATACAGTATCTATGGTCTGAATGTGCGGCTGAAATATATACCGTATATTTTATTTAAAAAACATATTTAAATGTATATGGCTAATTTTGACAACAAGTTCAATCATGATTAGTTTGAGATTTATTTCTGAATTTCTGAAAGTTGAAAGACAGGAAAACCACAACTGAAATGAAAGAAACTCAAATGAAGCATTGTCACAATGTAGTGTAGGGGAACCTCTAAACGGTTCCAACAACAACCACTGAAGGTCAATTATTCTGGTTAACCTCATGACCTTCTGGAATGAGATGAGTTAGCTTACTCTGAACCAAAAGAGAGCATAATAAACCTATAACATGCATTACGGGTGGCAGCGTGGGATATTTTTCTCACCAAACTTTTTACAAGTTTCGTCTAGCCTTTTTTGATTGACATGCAAAATATGAAAATGTCATCCCTCTCCTAATTTTTATTTCATTTCAGATTTGGACAGAGGCTCAGGATGGACTGGGTGCAATCAACTTCATTACTGGCATGGGGGGATTTCTCCAAGCTATTCTTTTTGGTTATGCTGGGATCAGAATCCAGACTGACAGGTTGTATTTCAATCCCCATCTTCCGCCAGGGGTTACGGAACTTGAATTACGCGGTATTTGACCTGAACATTATTTTTATGACCAAATTTGTGAATTTTGAGTTTCATAATTTTCACAGGAGTGGCTTACAGAGGAAGTAGATCGTCAATCACCATTGGCTCAAATGGCATAATTTTCCAAGCAAAAGAGCTGTCTGAATCTAAAACACTCTTTCTTCAGCAATCAGACATGGTATTCATCGTGGACGACTTTAACCGTGAGTAAAGGAGCACTGTTCTGGAAAAGAATTCCGAAAATGTTTTTATTGATTACAAATTTTATTCAACAGCCATATATCTTGCGATCGAACCCTTCACTCTTTTCACCGAAAGCTCACCGACCAATTGTCCTGCACCAGAAAGCAAAACTCACAATGCAGATCGGATTGTGAAGCAAAAAAATCTTCAGCATGAATAATTCAGACATTTATTTCGAAAGCAGAAAATTCATTCAGCGGATTTTAAAGCAAAGTTTATTCATATATTCTTTATAGTATAAGGTGGAAAATAATGAAAAGAAACAGGAACTCAGTAATTATAATTTTCCTTCCTACTTTCGGAAAACTGTTACCAAAATCAAGATTTCAGCAATGTTGAGTTGAAATGTTCATTTCAAGGTCAACCTGGGTTCAATCCTTCCACGGAAGAACGAGTTCTTGTGAAACTTGATGCTCCATAAAAGGCTGGGTTTCTCATGACGTCTTTGATTTATTTGCTTATTTTATGCTGATTGACTCTCATTTCCTAGTTACTTGTGAGGAAGTTGCGCTTGGCCTCAAATATCATTGAGCACTCTTGCAGTTTCCGAATGCGATAAGAAAATTTGCTCGGTCAATAAAACAAAATAAGAGACGGACTTTGTTTATGAAAATACAGTATATAAAAATGCGTGAAAAGAAGTCTTCTCGGTATTTCATGAGGATGGTCCAGTAACAAAAGCCATCATTCCTTGATCACATCCGTAAAAAAACTGAATTTTTTCATGGTGCATTCAAAATTTTTTTTTCAATGCCAAAAAGACGGCAAAGTTTTAATTCGGCAGCGGGAAAAAAAAAATCCGAGTTTTTTATTCTTTCTGTTTCCATGATGCGAAGATTTTCTTTCATTATTCAGCTTTCAAGTAAAAAACCTGGATAACTTTTAGAATTTTTTAATGTTTCGTACGATCGGGCATTAGTTTTTCCGAAGTTTGTGCTCTGCATGGTTAACATAATTTCCAGAAAATTTGTGCGTAGAAAAAAATGCAGTAGAAAAAAAAATGAAACGTTCTCACTTCGAAAAACTGTTTCAACGAAAATTAAAGCGAATGTGATCTGATGTTTTCTTTTTTTTTTATTCTGGTGATCGCAAGTAATTTGAGGAAACTTATTGAAGAACTATGTGAAAAAGATGAAATGTTTTTCGATTCTGTTTTGAACAGTATAGAGCCGGTTTCCAAAGGTGAGAATAATCATTATTTTGAAAACCCTTTAAAAACTCATCTACATTAAAAATTGATGATGAGCATGATTTGAAATTCACACAAAACGTTCCCTTATTTCCATCTTTCAAAAGTGGAAGCAAATTTTTAAGAATCCTTTCGCAAAACTTGTTTTTTGCGGTAATTTACCAATTTATTGGAATTGTGTAAGAGAACAGGAAAAATTTTTTTCCTCTTTGTATCGTAGATTTCGTTCTAGAGATGCTTCATGATGAAATCATCCAACGAAATCTTCAAAAAACAGGTTTCTGACGTGGCTTTCCCGTCATTTTGAACGGTATTCCATTGCCTGTCTATGGTGGAAGCCGGTTTTCCTCTTTCCTTGCAAAAAAAACAGTTTTGTACATAGACCGGTAAAAAAAAATACAATATCTCCTTCCTTCGCCATCCACCAGAAACTGCTTCACTATAGTAAACGCAGATTTGAATGAATATCCACAGCTCAGTGAATAATAATCCTTGTTCAATATCTGTGAACCAATCCGTCATCATCGCCGCCAGAAAGAATGCAATGGTCAAAACACACAGGTACACTATATATATATATATATATATATAATTTTATTTTTATATTTATATACACACACGGTGACAAAAACGGCGCTGTTTTCTTCAGATGGGGGCTGTTTTCTGGCACCCGGAACCCAAACACAAATGCGTGTTTGCGGCTGTGCAGCTGCTGATCCGATATCAAAGTGGACTGATTCAAAAGCATTCAGACAAATCTGCGTGCGAAAATCGTAGACACTTCATCGATGATGGAATCCTTCCTGAAGTGTGATAACTTTATGAGAGCCCCCTGGGGAGTTACATTTTTTTTTCTTTTGCTTTTTGGCTGTCGGTCGGGTAGTTTGGCAAACAAACCAACCAGCAACCATCAGGACCAGCTCCACCAGCAGAAGACGTGGTCAGCAGTTTCGACACGTCATGTCGACTTGACTGACGTGTCCATTTAGCAATGTTTTTTTTTTTTTTTGCTTTTGAAACTTTTTTCTGACGTTTTTATTCATTCATTAGTTTAGGAAAAGAGTGCGCCAGAAAAAGTTTTTTGCCTTGAAATTATAGTGTTTAAAGTAAAAAACAATAAGGTATACTTATTCTTGTCTTTTATATTGCAAAATTATTTGTTCATTCTTGAATTTGTGATTTTGTATAGGAAACTGTGGGAAAAGCTTCTTGGCTCTTCTGTGTGTGGCAAATAATTTGGAATATTTTTCCAAAATTGTGTCCGTATAAGCACTGGTGAAAAGAAAACCTCATTTTTGAACCAAGGCCTAAATTGAGTAATCACTTTTATTTCTTTTTCTTCAAGCAGAAAATTTTGCAGAAAATATTTTCGCAGTGCCTGATGTTTTTTCATCATAGGATTGACATGAAAGATTTCTGAAAGCAATAGGACTTTCTCTTCCCAGATTCTTCCTGACTTAAGCCTCTGAAATCCTGAAGTTTTTTTATTGACCTTTGGTCAAATGTGCCAGTGTTTAGAATAATTCCAAATTTCCCTTCAAGATTCAAAGCAACTGATCACCATTCAAGACTTGATCGAGATTTAATGCATCTTCCCACTGTTCCAGAATTTATATTAGACTCTAAGAGACTCAAACTAGATAACTTCCTTTCTGCTTGGAAAAGACTGTATATAAAATCCATCAGATATGACTGATCAGTTACAGTAAATAAACAAGATTTTATTTTCATTCATTTTTTTAAGCTCTAAAACTAGGAAATTGACCGAATTCTGAGTTCATCTGATGAAACTCCTGGGATTGTGTTGAAGTGTGGATCAATGAAATTATTAAGAATTTTGTATTTTGATGAAAAACGCAATCTAAATAAAATCAAAAGAGTTTTTGAAACTTTGACTGAAACTTTCCCATCAAGTCCTTGATGATTATTGCATTCTGCCATTACTTCATTTCTTATTGGGGCAGATTTCAATCACTTTGAAATCTTCCAAGATATGATCCAAAATATGATCTGCATTCACTTGATTTTTAATGCTTAGATGGCGCTGCCAGGATTTATTTGCAAAATTTTGTCCCATGCACTGGTTAAATAAAAATGTAATACCTACCATGATCTCAAGAGCTAAAGTTGGGAAAACCCCAATTTTTTTTTTCATTCCTGAAAAAAAATGTTTATGAAAAACATCATTAACTGCCTGGTGGCATTTTTTCTACATTCCAGTCTTAGGATTAGTATAAGGAATTTTGAAGACAATGGTTTTTGCTCTCCGGGATTTTTCCCAACTTTGGCTCCTTAGCCAAAGCTGCATTTGGATTACTTTTTGTCACACCAAAATGCACATGACCGCAAAAATTTCTCAGCACTGCCACACAAAGGGATAAAAAATGCTCCTCATGAGCATGGCAAGGGATGGATGTGATGGGGAGAAAACTTGAGAAAAGCTCTGAACTAGTGGAACATTGTTGAAATGAAATATGCCATCTTTGTAAATTTTTGTTTTGTTTTGTGCAAGGGCTATGGCTGGTTAAATAATGTCATCGGAGTGTAACATAAGAACATTTCATCATCAGTTTTTCACAGGAATTTCACTCAACTGATTTGTAAAATTTATTTAAGCACTGCAGGGGCTGGAGCCAAGATGAAACTATCTGCTCGCTTGCTCCTTTCTGCTGGTGCTGAGGAATTCCATGTTTGCCAGCTTCACAAAGGCCATTTGCTCACTGGAAAAGATTGGGCAACCCGCAGCCCACCATCACTAGCTGCATAGCTGTGATTTGGCAGATCCCTTTGGTGTTTTTCCATTGGCTGGTGCATGCGTAACTGTGATCCATACTGAAGAATACAGCTGTGGGGTGATGGAAATTGAAAGCAGGCTATTCATTTATCTGCTCACAGCAGGAGTGTCCTTACTGGTGATTCTACAAGCTCTGAATGGTCAACAGGTTCCCCCCAGTGAGTAAATGAGGTGGTGAATGACAATGAACATAAAATACGGTCAAACTCTGATTTAGTTTCATCAGTAATTGTCCTGGCACATTTTGTGGCACTAAGCAAGGGTGGCACTAAATTGGGTATTGTAGCAGTGGAATATTCATTACATTTTACAAATATTAAAACATGCTTTTTGCAGAATTTCTGGACAAATTATGTGAAGTGAAAGAGTGAAACTGCTTTTTGCAGATATGCTGTGTCAACCTTCTAATGAAAGCACACAATTCCAAGATCAGGTGGAGTGATTAAAATTTTTTGAAGAGACATCTCTGTTATTGAGATGCTCTTTATACGTAGGATATTCAAATAAAACCATCCAGTTTATATGTGAATATTTAGAAAAAGAATTTTATGAATTATCCTGAGCATCATGGCCATGTGATTCTCAGTGAAAACCTGATAATATCATTGGGAATATGCCTCAATTTATCTGATTTTGGCCTATTTTTCAATCAGAAACAGGGACATTTTTGTGGCACTATTTGAGTTAGGCACCAAATTGAGGGTCCTCAAGAACACAAACGACAAAAATTTCTGGAACTATATGCACAGGTGGCACTAAATTGGGGGCACTAAAGTGAAATTTGACTGTATTTGATTCAAATGATTCAATCTTATTGTTGCATCCCACATGCAGCAATGCTCCAGCATCTGGCCACAAACTGGCGCATAAAACTTGTTACATATCAAGGGCAGTGAGCCTGGCCAAAATCACGTTTTGGCAAGACTCACTGAGCCTCACCAAAGAGCAAGATGCAATCACAACTTCTTTTATTTCTCCTAAATCAGCCAATCCTGAGCCAGGAGGAAATCACCTGAATTCTTTCTGACCCAGTCTGAAAACTGGGTATAAAACCATCATTCCTTTCAGAGGAGAAGTGTGTGGGAATCTAGTGTCACAGGGCCTTGAACCTTGAAATTATCTCATTAATTATTCTGAACCAATCAAGCAATCTTGCGATTGATTCTGCCATTCCAAACAAGCATTTCATGAACAGTAAAATGATGATCTGGCAATGAGAATGAACTCCTCTGAGAAAACATTAGAGTTCTTCAAAACTTGCATCATGATGGCTGCACAATTCCATTCCTTTACCTGGTATCCAATGGACCAATGACACTCATTTTGAAAAATGCTTATGAAACAAAAACAGGCACCACTTTAACCCCACTTGAACAATGGTGCCAATTAATATATTGTGTAATGTGATGGTCATTGCATCCTTATTGTTGCTACCAGACAACAAAGAAATGTAAACTACAGTTCAAAGTGTCTGGAAGGGAATTTGCTCTGCTGTGGGACATGTAAATATCACATAATTATGTCAACTTGTACTGTATGTATCAGGATTTGAGAATATGTCTTCATCATCACAGCACATTTTTATAAAGATTATACACAAATTTTCCAAAAAAGATATCATTTCACAGTGAGAGTTGGACCTCTGGGACCCCAGCAACCCCCAGCGCCAGGTAGACCACAAGGACAATTACCTAACAACAACATGGTTCCTTCAGCACAACAGCACCAGCAGCCTGGAATTGTGAACCCAGGTGGCTATTCTGGAAAGATGGTATTACCTGGCACTCCTCCAGGCCATTCCCAGCAATTCCAGGTGCACAAAAATAATGTTCAATTATGTCCACAATAAAAAGGGATTTGAACATTGGAATAAAATCACAATTCAATCCCGAATTCTTTGAAAAGACGATATACACAATTACAGCGTATTCAGCAGGCTTCTTTGAGAACATTTTGAGATCCATGCGTTATTTCTTTTCTAAAAGAAAACATTCTTTCACTCTTATTGAATATAAAATTTAAACAAATTTTTCAGAAATGGAAATCAATTCACGGTGTAGCTGAATGGAATAATGAAGAAAGGTACAATTAATTTTCTTTTGAAAAGGAATTCTTTGTTTTTTTGCTTTGCATCAGGTGCCAGAGGCCTAAGCACCAATGCAGCAACCCTATCCTGGAACCAACATGGATCCCAATGCTAGGTCCGGGCAGCAACAGGGTGGAGATCAACAATAACAGGTCGGATATTTTACCAAAAATAAACAGCTGAATCCTGCCAACGACACGAGGCTTCAGCAGCAAGAAACAACTTCCAGGAGGTTGAGAAATGGCTTTTATTTATTCTTTTTTTTATGCAAGAAAGGAAATTTTCCTCATACTTTTATGATATCAGGTGCTGCTCAATCCCCAGGAAGAAATCCCGGTGATGAAACCAGCGCAGCGTCAGCCGGAAGTCCCCAAGAAGCACCTCCGAAAGTCTTTTTTGCCGGAATCGGACTTGTAACTGCAGCCCTTCACTTCCTCATGTAACAGATCATAAAAAATACCCTTTCTCTTACCTCAATCAAGGGTTGCATATAAAATTACAGTGCTCAATATTTGGGTCCTTGAGTGTGTAAAAGGCAAAGCCTAATTCAAAACAAAAAACAAAAAACAGACCCTTTTTTGCCCCACGCAGAGTTAATTAGAGCTGATTAAATTCTGCTCTCATATTTGCATGTAAGTAAACGAGTGCATTTCCTCATTTTCTTGACGTTGTGTGAGTGTGTTTAAGAAAAACGTTACGCGTTGTACAGGGAATAAATTTTTTTCATCAAATGAACAATTCCGCGGAAACGGAATTAAAAATTCGGAAACCCTGGAGTGCTCTAATCCAAAACGTGGATTAGAAACTTGGCCATCATGATATGCAATGTTCAGTAATAATATCACAATCATGACAGAGAATAATTTCGATTTCCAACCAATTTGAGCAAATTTACAATAATTTGTATTCATATCATGAATGAAATACATTAATTCTAGTAGCTTTTGTGTTTTTTTCGAAGATCATCGATCCGCATGCAGATTTTGAATATATTCGTTCATAATGTTCTTCAACCACGATTGATCAATAATTGATGGATGAATTTCTAAAAACTCCATCACGACATTTGAAAATTGGAGAGAATTATTCCGAACCATTAATTTGACGAAGTTCCATTGCAGGTGTGCACGAAAATCGGAAGACTTCACAATCATTGAAGCAATTAATGTGCCAAATCCATTAAATGAAACGGTGCGGCCCAATGGTGTTTCACACGAGAATCGCCCAATGCAGCATTATACGCGAAGTTTCCATTGGTGTCATAAATATCCAAAATTTAAACCCTACTGTTGTACACACAGAATACATTCAAAAATAAAATAAAAGAGGACACCACGCAATTCCTTAAATGGGCGTTATAAACCCTCAAGAGTTTCCCTACACATGTGTCAATCATTTTTCATTCAAGATCATTCACAGCGTCATAATTAAAACCAAATTTCGAATACAGTACATGTAATATGGTCATCCATGAAGTTAAGAGATTCAAAATTGGGTTAATGAGCAGATATTTGACTTTTTCGGATAAAGAAAAAACCCTTTTCTGGCCCAGTTTTAATTATATTCTTGCGTCTCAGCAAAAGCACCGAAGCCGGCAAAAAAGTTTTAATTAGAATCTTACATTCAAAAGGTTGCATTTGATAGATTTCCAACAGAAAGGTCGATTCTCAGCGAAATTCTTCTCATAATAAACGTGTTCTCAAGAAAAGTTCCTAAGGATATGTTTTAATAGTAGAACATTCTTTGTAATACAAGCGTATATAAGAGCATTGAAAACTAAATATAAGCAGAAAAGAGGAAAATGATAACGACAATTATGTAGGAATTGCAAAATAAGATGGAATACAGAAACGCGCAATGTTCCTGCACGTAACTATACTCCATTAGAAATACACATTTTGAATATACTATACCAACGTATTGCTGCGAAAAGTTTCTGCTTCGAATCAAGATGATTTAGAAAATTGCGATCGGATTTTTTCATTGTAATTTTGAAAAAATGTCCTAAAATTTTTGATTCTACGGAACTTATTCCAAAACCCTGTCCAATCCATCCCTGTTCTGCCTATCCAAGGAGGTTCAGTTCAAACATTTGAAAAAAAACTTTTGCCTATGACCAATCTCATGAGAAACTGCTGCATATTAACATATGCCATATTTGTGGGGTCGCGTATACCCGGCGTGACCTGAGCGCAACATCCTTGCTTGGGCACGCCTATGTCACATATGTAGCAGCCCACGGACCCAGAAGCAGATTGGCACCAGGTTTACTGCAATGCAGCAAACCGGGTGATTAATGATAAGATCTGAAATGGCGCAAAGCCCAGCAAAGTCTCCAAGGACTTCACTTTCCTCAATGGCATTGTCTGACAGCGGTTGTTGGATTATTCCTGCTGAGAGCTCTGTCTTGTCTGATTGATGTTTGAGAGTGTGTGTGAAAGTCTTGTAGATATCCTTCTGCAGTTGCCTGTGGGTCTGCTATTAAAGAGTGCTACTTTAAGGGACTCCCATTTGGAGGATCTGGCCATTAAAGGCTGAGTGACTTTGTACTTTCATTTTCCTAAATTCTTTGTTGATTCCAGCCCAAAAAATTGGTGGACAGTGGGTTTACCTTTAAGAGGTCAAACCCTTGGCATATTTCAATTTAGGTTGTCAGGTAAAAGACCAAAAACTAAAAAAGTACACGTACACTTTAACGTCGGATCGACGGAATGTAAAATGTGGGGATAGAGTTTGTGGGACAACCTTTTTAGACACTCGGAGGTGTTTCCGAGTCGCCCCTCCCACTGGGACAGATTGCCTCCAGATTACCAATGCAGTTGGCAAGGTGGACCACATTTTGCGGACTCCCAAACACAGAGATCCACAGCAACATTTTGAGGGTGTTGTCCCTCATTTCTTTTATGCTGCCGCGCATCTTATTGACCTACCCAAATTGGCCTTTACTCAGCCAGAGATTGCCTCATCCCTCACGCATCTGGCAACTGAGGTGAACACGCTTCTTGTGCAATCCATGGATGTCATGACCGGGGAATGGGCAAATCTTTGCCCAATGCAACCACGCGTCATGGGTGTTGCCTTCCCCATGGCTCCTCCCACAGCTGTGCAACCTGCAGCAGTGGTGGCACCCATGTGCAATCCATGGATGTCATGACCGGGGAATGGGCAAATCTTTGCCCAATGCAACCACGCGTCATGGGTGTTGCCTTCCCCATGGCTCCTCCCACAGCTGTGCAACCTGCAGCAGTGGTGGCACCCACTGCACCCTGGCCATCACCAATTGCGTCCCAGGTACCAGTTGGTCCTCTGCACCTCCTGAGCACCTTGCAAGGAAATGGTTTGGCATCATTGCAGCACGCAATTGGACCTTTGGTCCCAATGCGCCCAATGGCGCCATCTCTGTTGCACCCACTGGGTCCAGCAAGCTATGAGCAGTCAGACTCAGGTCCGTTGTCCATCCTGCTTCCACAGGGATGTCCACAGGAGGCATATAACCACTCTCTTGCAGTCTTTGGGACAGGGCAACCATCCCAACTGGCGCATCACAACCTTGTGAAGTTGTACAAGAAGCAGGCTTGCAATGCCTCCTTCAACAAGTTCACTGGCCAGGCCTCTTCAAATTATCCATTTGAGTGGCTCTGGCACAATTTTTTGCCAGTACACATCATATTGGTTGCACAGCTAATGGATACCAAGCGGATATGTCTGTTGCTGCTCCACCTGGATGGCAATGCCAAAGACAACATTGGGACGTTTGCGTACCAGGACATCAATATGGACTACTTGAGCATCATCCAAGTGCTCTTCACAGAATATGGGAAGACAGATGCAGTCCGCCTGAAACTCTACCGCAAGTTTGACCACCTTCCAGCACCCAACACTCAGCACTAGTTCTACAACTACTTCCACCACGTTGTCCAGATTGCGGAGAAGCTAAGTACAATTAAGACCAACATGAACTTTGTACATCTCTGTATGGGACCTGTCATTTGCGCGCACTTGGAACCTTGAAACTACTTGGAAGTACTCCAAGTATGCATGGAGCGCAATGCACAGGTGCCTGACAATGACGCCATCTGGGCAACTTGCCCGCATCAGCAATACTGCTTCATCCACACATATTTTACAGACAAACTCCACCTGGCAGAAGCATCTCCTGCCTTTGCCTTTCAGGGTGTAGCTGCACTGGCTGATGGCGCTGCTGCTCCCATGGCACCCACCACAGCTCCCACAGCGGCCCCATCTGCAACAGCTGCGGCCGCACCGGCTGTTGCGGCCAATGCCAACCTTGCAAATGCAGCACTGTCCACCTCAAACGGAAACTGGTGGCAGCCGCAAAATTGCAATAATGATAATTGCCGTTGACCATATTGCAGAGGGCAATCACAATCCTGCTGCCCCCCATGCAAGTGGTGGTGGCACAGGCACTCCTCTGATTGGCAACAAAGTCTTTCACTGCAAAGGCGGTCCAACAACCGTGGACCTCCCTACTGTGACAATGATTTGCGCCGCAATTGGGATTGGAACTCCTGAGACAATCTCAGAGGGCCTCCAGATTTGAACACATGTCTGTTCTGCGCTGAGAATCATACCGCAATGTGATGCATGCTATTGCTCCATGAGAAGCAACAGGCCATTTGTTGTCATCAGATCTGCAGTAATTGCTTGTCATGGGACCACTATGTGAACAATTGTACGGCACCTGGCTGGTGTTGCCATTGCCAGCTGGCGCCTCATTCAACAACCTGCAACCAAGGCCAGCAATGCGCAGCAGCTGTGGCCCAGGCAGCTGTTGCAGCACCAGCTGTCCAACAGGCAGCACCTGCAGCGCCCGCCACTCCCAAAGTGCCAGCAGCTCCCACAGCACCGGCAGTGGCAGCTCCTGCCGCTGCTCCGGTCAGTGTTGCACCAGCCACCTGACAAGCACTGGGGGCCAAGCGCCGCATTGTCCAGGTTGTTTCCGCTCCACAGCCAGGGCCTACATGCACCTTCATGGAGAGAGCCACCATCAATGCCATGCATGGACGCCTGCACGGAACTTGCATGCTGTTGCGCCACCTCTGCAGTGGCTGTCTCACGGATCATCCTCTCTTCTAAGAGCCAACGCCAAGCAATGGCCTCCTCCACCAAAGCTGCAGCTGGCAGCAAGGACACCAGCCGGTGCCAGCCATCTTCTGTCAGTCCCAATAGAAAGACCAAGTTGACCTCAACAATGCAGGGAGCTGTCCAACTGGTGGTGGTGCTGCACCCACATCTGCTGGTACCACAGCCATCTCCGCTGCTGCCTTGACAGGTGCAGCCTTGGCTGACGCAGCCTTGGCAATCACAAGGACTGGGAGCATCCCATCCTCTCCATCTGGCACACAGTTCACACAGAGAGATCAGGAACCAAGGCATGTACACGGTTGTGAGACATCACTTACCTGATGCGCCATTCTCCACAACATCCTCCTCTGACATGGGTTTCTTCGGAGTCATGGGGGATCCCTGCTATGCTCTTGCTTATGTGGCAGATCCATGGCAGGCAGCGTCCATTTTGTTTTTCTTTCTGTTGCAGACAATACAACAACCTGCGACTAACATTGTGATGGGAATGGTAGAAACACGGATTGATGCACACAATTGTCTTGTTTGTTGGTTTGTCTTGCGGTGTTTGATTACTTGCACTTTTTTGTTCTTTTTTGCGGCACGCGAGTTGCTTTGAGAATCTGTGAAAAGAAGATGGACGCATATCTCAGCACTCAGCCTGATTGAAACCAATAATGCCAAGGACCCCTCTGCGCTGGCGCACCAAGCAATCATGCTCTGGGAGCCACTGCCATTGCTGACGTAATTGTATTTCCAACTCCAGCAGCAACAAGACCTATGTGGACACTCCTGGTTGGCTTGTTGAGCCCCAGAGGATGCACATGCACACTGGGTGCCGGCCTCTGCTTCGGAGATGGCCGTCCACGCATTCACACCAAACCTGCACTGGACAACCCAAAGGCTGCATTGACAGCAATTGGTGGTAAGACCATGGCCCATCACATACCTTTTTATTTCCCCAGGGGGCCCCTGCTAGCCATGCGCATGCACCAGACTGGACCGCCAAGAACCTCACAACCCAGAAAGCTGACAATGGGAACGCAGCAAAAAACAACCATGGGATCAGGGTTACCTACTGCACCAGTCCAGTTCACCTTTTTCTGACTTGAAAAAAATTCTTTCAAACACTTTTGACAGAATTAGGGACCTCCGCCCATGGACCCTGAAGCAGATTGGCACCCAGTTTACCAAAATGCAGCAAACCGGGTGATTAATGATAAGATCTGAAATGGCTCAAAGCCCAGCAAAGTCTCCAAGGACTTCACTTTCCTCAATGGCATTGCCTGACAGCGGTTGTTGGATTATTCCTGCTGAGAGCTCTGTCTTGTCTGATTGATGCTTGAGAGTGTGTGTCAAAGTCTTGTAGATTTCCTTCTGCAGTTGCCTGTGGGTCTGCTATTAAAGAGTGCTACTGTAAGGGACTCCCATTTGGAGGATCCAGCCGTTAAAGGCTGAGTGCCTTTGTACTTTCATTTTCCCAAATTCTTTGTTGATTCCAGCCCAACAATATTTGCTATTTTTTCTTAGCTGTGCTGTAACCGCCAAAATTTCAATTCAACATTTTATTTCACCAGAAAATACATGAAATATTTTCCATCAAAGTTGTTTTTCTCTTTAAAGAGCAGTAACTTTTTCTCTTTGCGTGATTACCTGCTGGATTTTATTTCGTTTCTTTTCATGATCCACACTTTTTTTGCATATTCAATGATTTTTTGCTTGCCAACTTCGCCATAGACTAATGAGGCTTCCACTGGCCACCTCAATACTGTAAATAGTTTCTGCAGTTCTAATATTCGGGGTGATTCCGGAATCAATCCACAGAAAGGTCACCGAAGACGCCAAGACCTGAAATATAAGGCTTAGTCAATATATTCAAGGAAATATATTGATCCAATGGCTGAATAAGCAAGTTTTCTGACGTGAATAACTTATACCAGACATGTGAAAAGCGAATTTACTTCCATACACAGCCAACCATGTTTCGTGCCTAAAACCTGTACTGTTACTGAAATGCTGAAAAATAAATGAGGCGAGGCAGAAAAGTGTGCTGAAATTAGTCCATCATCAATTCCGGCTTGTCATGCCTGGTTCTGGGAAACAAAGGTGGAGTTCTTGACAGTGTATCAGGACAAAAAAATGCTGAAGTTGAATGAAAATATATTTCATGTCTATTTCATTGTCCCATTAAAAAAACGAGTTCCTAAAAGAAAAAAAGAAAAAATTGAGGATCCTGAGATTCCTGACACACGACGATTATGTGATTGGTTCGGAAAGTTCAATGATTTTTTGTAAGAAAAAGGAGTAAGTCCACACATTCTTGTTCTCAAAATATGTTGGTGGCTTAATCACATCATTTCCAAATTGGACATGATTCAGAACACTTAACCCTTGGGCAGCAAACTCAGACTTTTTCCGCACATTTGTGTGTCTGTGAGGATAGAGTTTTTAAAAATGAGTAACAATTCACCCAGGGCAAAGTCCAACAAAATCCCATTGCATATTATAATATCCACAGAAAATTTTGCACAAAAATCAAAATGCATCACCGTGGCTGAGCCTTTTATTTTTGCCCCTCTCTGGATTATTTTCATTCTTCTCAGATTTGCAACACTTTCATTTTAGGCACCAGATGGAGTATTCTCATTTAGAGGCAGAAAAATATTAGGGGAAAAAGTCCCACTTTGGGAAATATTAGCAGCACATTTTTGTTGGAAAAAGTCTGACTTTACCTTTAGGCAACCTGGCTTGGCTTTTGCGGCCTTCAAGAAAAATGAAATGTGGGACCACCCAAGAAAATCCAAATTTTGCTACTCAATGGAAACAATGGAAATTTGTCTGTTGGGCAGGAGGAAAAACTGCTTGCAGAGCTGGTCTGTTCAGCAAAAATCCCTTATGCGGGAGGTCTGTTAGGCAGGGGGCCACTGTATCTATTGTGGTCATGCAAACTTGAATACATTGAAACCTGAAAAGAACAACAATTACTCTCATAATACCTGTGAAATCAAGTACAATTCATCTGTCCCACAATTCAATGGCCATATTTGCAGTTAGGTCAACTTGCAATTTGACCTCTGCTCCAAAATTCAACCCACACAGAGAGGCACAAAAAACATAGAATACAATGCAGAAAACATTGCATTTGGCATTGCTTTGCAATTTGACCACTCCACAATTCAGCCCTAGTCCAGCAACAGATGAAATTGCTGGGTCCCACCAGTATAGGAATAAGGTTATTCATCACTAAAAATTTGAATATCCTTTCAAATTGCGTATACTCAGCACTGGTTCAACAGCAATTTGAAGACAAAAATATTTATCATTGAAACATGACCAAGACATTGTAATAATTGACAAAATCGATTTTTGGGATAAGAAAAAATTGTGAATCACATTGGTGCAGTTGAAGCTTCTCCTGCTAGCTTGGATACTGAAGCATTTTCATTTCATCCTGGTTGAATGCAAATTTGAATACGTGGACCGACAGGGAAATGAGCAGATGCCAATTTTGTTAAAAAAAACGGAAAAGGAAGCTTCATTTAGAAGCATTTATTCAAGAGTGAAAAATCGACCAAAATCAGACCTTTTTATTGCACACGCAATCTCAACATTTTCTGTTTCTGAAGTTTAAAAATTGACATTTCAGTGAAACTCACAAACTCACTCACTCACTCGTTGCACCGCAGGTTCACCCCAGAATTTTCTTGGGACACCGGCAGTAATTGTGGGCGTTACGACTTGGTGCTGGAACCCGAACCCAGCGAAAAAGGGCAGCAGTATTTCATCTCATATATATGTGTTTGTTCTTTTATTTTTTGGGCCCTTGTCGCAGTTTTCGTAAGCACGTGCATGAGTGCTGACGACAGCGACGGACTCTCGTTTCCGCTGTCGACTTCCTATTTCGGTTTATTCATCTGTTATAGGTGCGAGGAATCGCTTGGCGAAACTTCATGAATAAATCATATCGACAACTTCGCTGGTGTGTGTGTGTGCCTTTTCCGAGTTCACTCAGTTGCATGAACGTCGTTCCTTCCAGGTGATGTGGGCAAACTTCTTGTTGGTGTACCTGAATTTTCTTGGACAGTTTCAGAGGCTTGGTGTGTCGATGATTCAGTGTTGGCACTGGAATTGAGTTTTAAATAGTCATGTCTGACTCTATGGGAAAATAAAGTCATTCTGAAGTCGATTCAAGCAGCAGTTTCGGAATATTTCCAGCGATAATAATGAAGTAAATCGGAAATTTTAAAGTAAATTTATGATTATGCGCAACAACGGGGAAAAAATCGTAAGATTGCCAAATTTCTGCATGAACTCGCTCAATTTTCAGAAACAGGCTCTCATCCACAGCATCGGGTAACTTTTCTTAAATATCTCCATTCTTGCCGAATAAATGATTTTCAAGAAACGTACAGGGTACAGTAGCTGTATTATGAGATTTCACCCATGTAGAATTAATAGCAGTATACGCATAGTTAATTTCCAGTTTTATTGGTCGATCATAATTTTCGAAAAATAGCGTAACTCAATTCCTATAATCAAAAGTGTACTGCTGTTTGTCAATGTGCAGAATTTATCCTACAATAATCCAGTTCTAATCCCCTTCATCTTTTGTTTCTATAATGAACATAATCACTGCTGTATAAGAAAAATATTCGTACCTGCATTTATTCCATTTTTATACATGCAGTATTTGGTAAAATTCGTAAGACTTCCCAAGAAAAGGCTCAAGCTTCGAATTGAATGCTAATGAAGATGAAGAATTCATTATTTTCAGTAAATCTGTGAAAAGCACTATAGTATTCCAATTTTTTGACGAACACGTGAATTTGAGTCGATGTATCCCCTAATTCTTCCCTGGCCTCAAAACATGCTTCGATGAATCCAGAGATTTTACGATGGCAGAAAGTTTTTAAATGTGGAGGAGACGTAAATTGCTGCTGAAAATTCGTGAATATATTTAATAAACCTCGAATTACGTATCTGCTCGTAAATTGAAATTTTCACACGCAACCATTTCCATGAGCCAGCACCCAGATAATTCTGCGTTTTCGCGGGATTTCCTTTCCGTGGTCCAATTGTATTAAGTGAGTGCGAATATTATTCACCTTTTCGCGATTCAAGTTTGTATCCATCCAGATTTCAACCATCAGGTTCTGAAGTCAAGTGTACCTGGTGATGTGGGGAAGCATTTTTTTTCACCACATAAATATTCTGGATTCCGAACATCTAATGAACGAGTGAATCAAACATGAACATGTCTTCATTGTGATTCTGGACTTGTTTCAGTGGGTGTATATGTGTCTGAGCTTTTCTGAGAACACACGAGACATGCTTAACAAAAAACCCGCGAAAAGCCGAATGTTTATTTTGATAGCTGGTTGTTTTTCGGCTACTCTCACGGCAGCCTTTTATTTTGCCAGTGGGTCGAAAATGTTGGACAAATCTGATCAGGACGACAATAAGTGAGTCTTATTCTTGTTGCTTTGCCGATGCGCTGTTCATAATGCCTTTCATTACTTTCATGTTGATGAAATCAATCGATCACAACCACCTTTCTGCCACAGTTGTGAAACACTTTGTTGTCCATAAAAACTTTATATTGAAAGTAACTAAAGAATTTCATCGCAGTCAATGTCAAGGTAGCCATTTGCATGAAGCAAAAATATGGAGACCTGAGTGAATTCAAGAAATTAAATGGAATTTTTTTATAAACATGAGAGGCAGTGAAATAATTTTTTTTTTCAAAGAGCACAAGAAAGCTCTGCAAAGATAAAAAAAAGTTGTGAAACAGTCTTTAGTTTTTAGAGTAATCCATTATACAATATTCTGAAAAACTGTTTAGGATCAAATATTGAGTACCTTTGTTTAACCCTTGGATGGTGTAGGATTCCTGGCCATTCTGCAGCAAAATCAAGATTTGGGGGGGGGGGGGGGTGGCACATTTCAGCTTGACCAAAGGTAACTGTACTGCACCCAGGTTGGGAAGGGCTCAGTTGGAAAAAATCCAGCAAGGGTGAATCCTATGGTATTCCAAAATCTCTAAAGCCTAGCCTATGCTATGAATTCATGAAGAGCCTCTTTATTTTTGTGGCAACTTATTCCGCAAGATTATAAAAAAATATTTGAAATTTTCCCAAATTATCGTTTGGTACAACACTAAAGATTTTTAAATTTTCAGTGCTCATGGGCACAACATTGAGCAAGAATATCCTGACTTTGCCACACAATGATTAAAAATCATAAAACATACTGTAATTACTTCCTTGTCACTGTAGATGATTTAAAAGGATTCTGGTCATGGAGAACTTATGAATTTTAATATTTCAATTTTGTTGACCAGTAAATATTTCTTACTGGAATATTCAAATCATAAAGGATCAAGTTGTCAGTTGACCTTTTCAAACAAAACATTATTTTACGACGATTGCTTTTCCCTGATACAGGTACATACATATAAAAATCAAAGCATATTTGCGTAACATTGTATTCATATCTAGCATGATCAAGTTGTTTTGCAGATTTCATCGCCTTTTCTTTTTTACATGAAAACAGAGGCGACACCTGTCGTGGGTCATCACCTTTCCATTAAGTCCTATTCTGTATCACGATATTTCACTTTCCGTGTACTCCATCTGCAAAACATTTTCTGTTGCCATGGAAAAAGCACGTGAATTATTATCAGCGCACATGAAGACATATAAATTTGACCCAAGGGCAGGGGAAAAAAGTAAAAAACATTTCACCCTGCCATGGCGAATGATATATTGTCAGAAAAAAATGGAAGGGTATACGGCCAAAAACGATTTTTTGGGGACGCGATAGAAATAATATTCTGTTAACGTATGATTTTAAAACATTTCAAGTCCCGGGTTTGTTTCGACTCTTTTTTTAAAAATACTCTTCGTTCACTCGCTCTGAAAAGCCCTAATTGGAAGTTCGGAGGGAAAATAAAAACCCTCCCCCTCTGTTCAAATCAGACTTTCAGCATTACGCACGAAATCATTGATCACGTATATTAAGAGAAACCCCCACAGTTTGTCATGTTTCATGCTGTTGCTGGAAATTTCTAAATAAATTGATATTCTTATAATGGTTCCTCAACAGGGTAATTTTGGGGATAGAAGAATATCGGTCAGAAGTTCTGCTCATGTCGGATTCAGGGATCATCAACTCCAAGCTGGATCTGAGCCTTTTCAGTCCCGAAGATTACGCGAAAGATGCAATATACATGATGGAAACATCAGGCAGACAATTGCTGAGTGCCAAACAGCTGTGCAGTGTGGAGTCCACAGCAAGGCTTCATCCCAGCAAAACAATCGTCCTGTTGGTTGCCTCAGATACAATAGTGTATCCAACTCTCATCACATCCCTTCTGAGGAAACACCCGAACGTCCTTTTGAGGAAAATAGATGTTGGGAAGGTACTCAGCACATCACCCTTGAAAAATATGGATATTGAGAACACCTTGAAGAAGAGCAAGTGAGAAAGCATCCAACTTGGAGAAAAATATGAGTGCTGCAGTTTATGTTTGGAATATTTTGTTTTCTTTCAGGTTTGTCACGGAACATGCCAGTGACTTGCTGAGGTTTGCTCTTTTGTACGAGCACGGTGGGATTTATCTGGACCTCGATATGATAGTGATCAAGAAATTGCCTGAGGTTGCCAATGGTGTGGCTACTGCCAATGAAGGAACGTATCTCAACCCTGCTTTCATTGCATTTCAAAAGGGCCATCCAGTTCTTCTAGACTGTATGAACCACATTTCAGAAAGGTAAAATGCAAGTTCATGAAATTGAAGCATAAAAACACAAGGAAATGTTATCCTGAATAGTAAAAAAAAAAAGGATCAGAGCCATTGCACTAATAACAGCTGTTGGGGACATATGGCTTTCCAGCAATAGAAAACATTCCAGCAAACTGGAAATAGAGATAAATGGTCACACAGGAGAATTAGCCAGTTTGTGTCTAGGAATATGTAATTAAGGGAGTGCCTTAATTACATATCCCGTGTTCCCCAACAACAGCTACTTTTATAATGCAATCAGCTACTAATATTATCTAGTGGCAAAGGGTTGTTTTCTATTGAAGAGCAAACATGTGGATTCTTGGTATGTTGTGAGATTTAACTATAAACGCCAGACTGGTGTAGTAGGGAAAGTCAATTTTTCTGGAAAATTCTTGTTACTGGAATTTGCCAATGTTGGAGATTATATGCTAATCTTTTGATGCAGCCTCTTAACTGGGATCCTTGCTTCCGCTGGAGCCCAAGAGAGAAGGCTCAAGACACCCTTGAATGAACAAACTAATCCAGACAGGGGTTATAAAAGCTCAGACTTCAGGATTTTCAATTTTGAGGAAATTTTTCGCACAACTGTCAAAAATGCCAGGATTTTCCCAACTTTTCTCTGGATGTTCAGTTCTGTTTTTGAATCCATCTGTACAAATGAAAGTTTGCAAGAAAAAGGCTGAATCTGCCAACCCCAAGAGTTAAATGGTTGAACATGTAACATAGTATTAACCATAAAAACACTGAAAGCAGTACAGTCAACCCCTACACAATGGACTTAATTCATGCTGCGGGCTAGTCTGCTATGCCAAAAATCTGCTGTGCGAATTCAATTACTAAAAATCTTACACTTTCACTTTTTGCCTTTAATTTTGAACCAACAGAAGTCTGTTATGCAGATATTAGTTCATATATCGCATGGGAGGGAAAACCACTTCCATAGGCAGCCTGTTTTGAGAAAATCCATTTTGCGGGAGGTCTGTTGCGTGGGAGTCTAGTTTATGTACAAATTCCAACGCAGCAAAAGTGGGAGAATATGAGAAGATCAAAGAGGAATGATATCAAAAGATTGAGTGATCCTCTCGCATTGAAGGTTGTGATGATATCCGAGTGATTCTAATGGAAATGAAAATTTCAAAGAGGAGCAAGAACCTTTGCTGGATTAACAATTCACAAATCCTTCACAACCATCACTGATCCGTGAGATCAAATGCCATATTTTTCAAAGTAATAAGTGCAACAAATCTGAATGAGTGGAAAATTTTCTATTTGCCACTGGTCTGTGTAACACGCGTACTTCCTCATCATGTTTGGCCATCATCCCTTGGTTTCAGCTTCAACAAAGACTGGTTCAACGGAAACGGTCCCGATCGAATCACAGAGGCCATGAAACGTTGGTGCAACACATCAACTCTGCAGCCCGGAATGAATTGCTCCAACGTCTACCTGTTCCCAGTCGACAACTTCACACACCTCAATTGGGGAATTTCCATGAAGGCTTTTGACGAAGACCCGGCCATTGCCGATCCTCTTGTCGCCAATTTGGAGTCCAATGCCTTCGTTTTCCATTATTACAATGACGTGACGCGTGTGGTTGATGCCAACATCACTGGGAACTCTGCCATTGCGCGAATGGCGCGCAAATATTGTCCACTAGTCACCTCCTATTCTCGAGACTGGCTGTGGGGGTTCCATGACCCAGGCAAAGGGTTTCAGTGACATTTTTATCGTGTTCGATTTATTTCATGTGGTGCACTTGCCTGTGACATGCTGAAGAATCTTGTGCTACTGTTGATGAAGAGAAATTAAAATTTCAGTTAGAGCAGCAGAACGACGACCATCAACAGTTCCGCTGAATATTGTGCAGATTTTAATTGAAATGAACAGCCTGTGTGAATAATGTGCTTATACATTTTTTTTCAGGCATCAATTAAAAGGCAAGAACAAACATTGAAATACGTTTTCCCCAAATTTCTAGACAACCTAAAAAAAAACTGTGTCTCATGCTGCGGTGGAGATATTTTGTCAATTTTCAAGAACGAATTAAATTCCTTATGAGAATTCAAGGGGTATTTCTCGAAGAAACGCTTTTGAATTTCTTTTTAATTACCAAAAAACCATATTCAAATCAGAATTTAGCACAGAATGTTTTATAATCAGTTTCAAAGGGAAAACAGAGGAAATTTTCCAAAGCAAAACATATATGAATTTTCAGAGAATGAAACACATTCATGGATATAAAAAAAAAGCTACTGTACACGAATTTTCTCAGGTTCGTTACAGAACATACCAGTGACTTGCTGAGGCTGGTGCTGCTGTACGAACACGGTGGTAATTATATGGACTTTGATATGATCGTGCTCAAGGAATTGCCCAAGGTTGCCAATGGCGTGGCTACTGCAGACGATGGAAAATATCTGGCCAATGGTAAAAACTAAAAACTTTTTCCTGTGGGACAATACGACCTGACGAACTGGTTGTAACGTTTCTCCATCGTAAAAAAGAGAGCCTTAAAAATGACTTCCTTATTCTTTGACTTAACTATATATAATGTTACAACCTTAATTTCAAGATTACGTATGGTTGCACCAGCGCTTGCATTCATTTCGGAAAATTCATTTATGAAAAGAAATCCTGGCAAATTATTTCTCAGCAAAAGTGAGATTTTTAAAATAATTGACTTTTAAAATCAACGTTCTCTCTTTATTTCCATTTTATTTTTGTTGGATCTCCATGTTATAGCTTCAACAAAGGACGGTTCAATGGAAATGGTCCAGATAAAATCACGGATGCCATGAAACGTTTTTGCAACACCTCAAGCTTGGAACCCCGGATGAATTGCTCGAACGTTTACCTCTTTCCCATTGAAGAGTTCATCAACGTCGACTGGAAAATCGGTAGTTGTCGGCAACTGCTTTTAGGTCCTCAAAGACTGGGAGACCAAGTTTTCGAACTTAGTTTTCGAATGCAAGAGGTAATAATGTTACTATCTTGGGCCTGGTGCCTACAGTTTTAGTTACCCTTTTCCGCCGTAGCTCGCATGGCTAGAAAGCATTGTCCTTTGGTCACAGGTTTCTCTCGGGATTGGCTTTGGGGGTTCCAGGACCCTGGCAAGGGATTCCAGAGATAATCTATCTTGTGACAGTTGATCCCGATATGTGCTTTTCAAGAGAACATTTTGTTCTCCTTATTCATGCTCGCCCTATACATACATCAATCACTCCAATCATCTGGTTGAGAAAATGTTTTTATTCTCTCCTGTAACGGTTTTCTCATTAATTTTCAAATGGAATGCAACGGAAGGCCAAGTGTGATCAATAAACAGTAGAAGAGTGACTGTGATTCTTCCCACAGAAAATGTTGATGAAATCATTTATTGGCTGTCTTATTTTGTTTCAGTGCCATTCAAAAACTGAAAACGTGACATTCTGATTTAAGCTCAAGTTTGATAAGGATGTTTTGGGTTGTTTGTCAAAATGTATCCAAAGCATCTTGGAATGTGAGGGAGCGGGTGTTGTGAATATGATGAAGGCATGGAGCATTTACAGCATACCTCATGTACTGTAAATGCTCCAAAAAATGCATGGTCTCCAACAGACACTGGTCTTATGAATACTGGTTCTTGAAGGAGGTTTGCTGGGTACAGTGGCAAAAGGTAATGCTTTAATTAATCAATATTCCTCCTGCTGTATCCCATCCTTCCTGTCCTGAAGAAACTAGTGCTGGGGCTTATAAAGAGGGCAGCACTGAAGAACAAGTCCCGAAGGACTTGTACAACAATGCACACCCTTGTCTTCAAATTGAAAGGAATCATCCAATCAAAAGCACCAATAAATCTTATCCTCTCTGTTATTCTTCCTTCCGAAAACTAATACACAGAATTCATTCCACTGCTGCCAATTCTCAAGCTGTTTAGAGCCAAAAACTTTTTTTTGATTATTCCGGAAATACTTTTGAGATTACCTTGTGTGTTTGATTATTATTATGCGTGATTCAAGATTCACTGAGTTGCTAAATTCAGTTCTGGGACACAAAACCCTTTCCCTTCAGTCTTTTCTAGTGTATTCCTGTCTCATTTGCAAGATTCAGTGAGAAACCCAAGTTCTTTTTCTTATTTTCCCACATGTGTACCCCATGTTCTTCTTTTCATCTTTTTCTTCCACAGGTGAAACGTTTGGAAATAATTGCAAGTGTTCAATAGGACCTGGTCCCATCTGGGTGTTTACTGGAGCATATACAGAAAACATATTTTTAGCAGACAATTTATATATCTTCTCGTTGTGGCAACATTTTTGCCCAATTTCAGGATGTTGTCAGCTTGTTCCAAATAAAAAGGCAGGAAAGTTCCCCAAAAACTGTATTTTAATATTGCAACTAGGAAATTCAATGGTGCATGAAATAAATCTGAAACTATATTTCTCTCTCAGTGTTTTCATTTCAATTGTATTTGTGCACCATTACCAGCAGAACTAATGATATATGGTCGCTTTTCTGACGACTGGAATTCCAGTTTCAACGACAGGGGCACAGCAGGAATAAGAAATCCCCTTCAAAATCATGAAAAAAGACGTGCGTCGCATTTGGAAAAAAAAAAGAAACAATTTCCACCCGATTTCAATCTCAGTTGAACCCTTTGCCTGGGTCATGAAACCCCCACAGCCAGTCTCGAGAAAAGGCGGTGACCAGCGGACAATGTTTCCGCGCCATTCTCGCAATGGCAGAATTCCCAGTGATACTGACATCAACCACACGAGTTAAGTCATTGTAATAATGGAAAACGAAGGCATTGGACTCCAAATTGGCGACCAGAGGATCGGAAATGGCGGGATCTTCGTCAAGAGCCGTCATGGTGATTCGTCCCCAACGGAGGTGCGTGAAGTTGTCGACTGGGAACAGGTAGACGTCGGAGCAATTCATTCCGCCGACGTCTCAACTACACAACGTGGTTGCAAAGTATCGGACACACTAAGCTAGTCCCGGTAAAGGCAACTTGGAAAAGAACAATTTTGACTGCGGTACTATTTGGTTCTTAATTACTCCTTCACTCAAATAACACAGAGTTTCAAGACCAAAAATTCCAAACAAGAGAACCCCATGTGTTAACCTGGATAGGTAATGTGAACAACGGTCCAAGAGGAGGTCTCTTTAATGGATAAAATAAAGGGAGGTCCTTATTCACCACTAAGAGAGGGGGACGTCGACAAGGAACAAAAAACAAGAAGATATACGTTTGTTACACATCTGCATCAATGGGTGATGCTTTTCCCCTCAAAAGGCCAAGCGCCTATTTTTTCCTCTCTTTATTGCTGACAGTGACAGATGCCACTGTGATGGATTTTCTTCAACACCGCGGGATCCAAGAGGAAAATTCTCTTGGATATACATATATATTTATATTTGATTGAATGCATATTTTACCTGACGTTTTTGTATTTTCACCTGATGTTCTCTGTTGGAAATATTCATGAGATTAGAAAACCTCATGAATGTTTGTGACTTGAAAGAATCTTGGTTATCCTCAATTCTTCTCAAGTCTATATCTACCTCTGAACTTCCTGAGCTAACATCAGAAATTATCCAAACCTCAACGTGGTTATTTCTCAGGAAGCCTTGTAGCAAATTTAACAAAACTTCCTTAATTTCCTGACTTTATATTTTATATTGTTGTGAATATCAAAAATATATATTGCTCACTATTTTTTTTATCTCTGAAGTATTTTATGAATAACACCTGCATTTTATTCCAATTTTTAATGCTTACTTCCTGAGGCCCAGTGTTTGGTGTGATTAGTTTAAATTTTCTCATGTTCAGGTAATCAAGTTTCACATTTCCACAGTTCTTTTCTTTCAATTTACAAACCCGTTACAGATGGACATCTTAGAGTGGAAGATCTTTACGCCAAGTATGTCAGGTTCTCTTGCCCTACTGAGAAAACTTTTCACTACTTTCGTCCCAACTCTTTGCAAGGTAATAGCCGTCACCGGTGTCCGTTGGCAACCTCAGGCAGCTTCTTGAGCACTATCATATCCAGGTCCAAATACATTCCACCATACTTGTGCAAAAGTGCAAACCTCATCAAGTCGCTGGCATGTTCTGTGACATACCTATAGGAAATTGAAGAAAAAATGTGTCCAGCATCAAACGTTGATGTTCTTCACTACAGCACAGGCTATATATATATATTCTCACTTGCTCTTCTTCAAGGTGTTCTCGATATCCATCTGTTTCAAAGGTGATGTGCTGAGGAACCTTCCGACATTTATTTTCCTCACAATTATATTTGCATGTTTATTCAAAAGCAATGTGATGAGAGTTGGATACACTAAAGCATCTGCAGTAACTAACAGCACTATTCAAAACGGTCCCAACACGGACCGACGTCTGAGGTGTGACGTTTCGACAAACCGTGAGTCGTTAACAGACGGCCTACAAAGGTAGTACATATACCGTAGCAAGCGTATTAGGGAACATCCTGACTTTCGGCTCAGATCCAGCTTCGAGTTTATTATCCCTGAATCTGACATCAGCAGGAATGCAGGCTGGAAATCTTCCATGTCGAGAATGATTCTGCTGAGGATTCATCAAGAAAAGCGCAATACTGCATTCAGAAATTGCAAGCGAACGCACGGGAGATGGGAAAATAGAACGAAAAACGAAATAACTGTGAATGAGCTTATGAAAAATGTTTTACAGTATATGGATCAACGCGTCTGATTGAAAAGAAAAACTGAAGGAATTTTGAAGAATAAATACGAATTACATATAGCTAAAGATTTATGCAATGATATTTTGAAGAAAGATGTCAGAAATATGCCCAAATAATCTGATAAATTTCATCAGAATTGAACAGCACAAATTGTATTGCATTTGCCTCAAAAATGCCTGTGTGACCACGTCGTTTCAGTTTTTTTTTAAACATTCAAAGATCATTGACATGTGAAAAACCACCTTGGGACGAGTCTGAATTCTTTCAATGAGCGTAATAATTCGTTTCTGAATGATTTGTATCAGATCAACGAAAGTGTTCTCAAAAAGCCAGACACCAGAAGATAATGAAGGCAACGTATGGGTTTTTTAAATATTTGGAGAAATTTCGTTATTATATTTTCAGATTGTCAGATTACATCCATCAACCTATGCTGTTGATGAAAGTAGTTCATATAGGGAGAATCTTGACTTTTGAACACACAACTTTTGTTTGGAAGGTGAATGGTTTGAGCATTGAATCGGATTCTACCAAATTGGTGGTAAATATTTAGAAATTTCATTATGAGTAATTGACTAGCTCAGGTCGGAATTAAAACTAACGTTTTGGCCTGAATGTAATAATGTTCAGTATATTTCATGTGACACATATATCCCAGATATTGACCTCGGTTACAGGTTGGAATTCTGAAGTCACTTATTGCGATATAAAATTATTCAGGACGACATTTT